CGGGAGTGAGTGCCCCAACCCCTCTAAAGGGGTTTGGGCCAATCCAGGGCCTTTGCAGTGAGGGGACCAAAATGGGAGGCTGAGGGCTAGGGAAGGCAAGGACCTTCCCAAGGCTCACAGTGGGAGGAGGGATGCATGCCTGCTTTACCCCCCTATCTTTCCTTCCCCCTCCACCCTCCAAAGGGATACTTGGGGCTCCCCTCCCCTTTCCCTGCTTGTCTTCTGCACAAGGAGAGAATGTTATTTAGAAGGAGATCAGGAGATTTGCCTTAAATAGGCATGGAGTACTGTGCCAGGGCCCAGGGTGAGGGGCGGGGGAGGAGGCCACCCTGGGTGTTGGTGAGGAAGGAGTGGAGCTGAAAGAGAGAACAACCTCCTTCACAGCGCTTCACAGTTTACTAAGCACAGTCCCATGATTCACACCGGTGCTGACTGGGGCAGTTGGTCAAGCAGGGCTTATTCCCACCCTACTCCCATTCTGAGGATGAGGAAACTGAGGCCCAGCTCAGGGAACTGACATGCACTAGCTACCAAGTAGCATCTGAGACTGGATACCATGGTCTTTCCGCTGCTACAGCCCCCAGGAGCTGGGAGGTGTTCAGAGAGACAAGAAGCCCAGAAGATAGGGCCTCCTGCTGCAGCAAGGGTGGGGGCTCCTGCACAGTGGGGGTGTCTTGGGGCCTCCCAGGATACCGGTCCCCACCATCAGTTCCCAGGCCTGTGGCTCCTGCCCCCAGGTTGCCCTGCTGGCCAGCCCCAGCTTGTAACTGGACGCCCTCCTCACTCCACACCTTCCCAGGTGAGCTGGGGCTCTGCTTACTGAACCCAACACCTGCTGGGGGAGGGAAGTGAGGCAGCTCTGGGGGTGGGGGTGGGGAAAGCATCTGCCGGGAGGCTGAGAGGCTAAGGAGTGGGAGGCTGGGCCAGCTAGCACTGTCACTGCCCTCCCTACAGGGCTTGTCTGGCACCTGGGGTTCACTTCCCTATTCAGAGCCTCCTTCCAAGCCTCTCCCCTTCCATCTTGGCCCCTCCCAGCCATTTCTGTCTCGGCAGGTGGTGCTCTTGGAATCCTAAAGAAATGCAGCCCTGAATGTGGGGTTTCTGGGACAAAGCTAGGGGCCAGGAGGCACCCCATGTTTGCTCCTTTTTTTGAAAGCCCTAAACACCGAGGTGAGGCCCCAGACACCTGGGTCCCCATCCTGGCTCTGCGATTTACAGCCGTGAGACCTGGAGCTGGCCACCTGTGAGCTTCGGTCTCCTCCTCTGTGAACTAGGTCTAAGGATCCCCCTCATATAGCAGTTGAAGATGCTCTGGTAAGAAGATGGATGGAGGGAGGAAGAGAGGCAGTTATGACAAGAGCACTCACAGACCAGGGCTGAGACCTCATGTTTGTTGGAGGAAGGAGAGGGAAAAACTTTCATTCTCCCCTTCCCCTTAGTGGGTGGGCACAGCACCGAAGGCTGTGAAAGAAAGCATTCACTTCCTCTGGGCTCCTGTTAATTCTCTTTGTTATTCAGCAGGCCACTCACAAAGCAAATAGGGAGGGGGTGCAGGGTGGCCACTTCAGGTAAGAATAATAAAGACCAATAGGAGCCAATCAGGAGGGTTTACCTCGTGCCTGGCCCCACCCCAGCTCTTTACTTGTCCTAACTCCATTTCACTAATGATGAAATTAAGTCTGAGGATTTAGGTCACGTGGGAAGTGGTGAAGCCAGTACCTGACTTCAGGACCTTTTTGCTGACTTTGCAAAAACCCCAGGACCCTGGGATTTGGGTTCCAGAGCCAGCTGCAGTGTGGCCTTGGCCAAGTCACCTAACCTCTCTAGAGATTAGTTTTCTCTCCCCATAAGGTGGGAATAATATCCCACTGTCCTCTGAGGGTTATTGTGAAAAACAAGAGGGTTAATGAACACAAACTATGAGGCAGTCAACAGATACCCAGCACAAGCTTCTCAACAAAGGGACCCCTCCCTCCCTATGCTTACTGGGTGCCCAGCTCCTGAGGTGTCCGTGTGCCCCACCCAGGCACCCAGGCTGGGAAACAAAGGACCTGCCAGGCCTCTGAGACAAGACTGAATGACCACTTGGCGCCACCTAGTGGTCCATGATGTGTGGAGCGAGAGGGCCTGGCTGCTCTGGGATTGGGGGTTTGAGCATGACCATTGGCCCTGTAGGGGGTGGGAAAAATATACCAGGACCTCAGACAGCATGAGTTCATGCCTAGATGCCCTCCTCTGGCCACTCCCCTGAGCGTAGGGTGTAGGGGGGCACTCCACCAGTCCACCGTCTCAGCCCCACATCGTATTCCCTTTGGACAGCTCAGGGAAGACCAAGGGGGGGCCATAAGGTCCTAGTTCCAGCTCTGCCACTGCCTAGCTCCCTAGGCCTCAGCCACCTCCTCTTCAAAATCAGAGTAAGCATCCCTGCCTCTCAGGGAGCCTAGAGCTGTCCTGTGTTGTTTCATTTATTAAACGTTTTATGAAGTGTCTCCTTTCTAAAGTCATCATGCTGAGTGCTGTGGGGACACAAACACATCTAAGCCAAGTCTCTTGCTACCAAGGGAGCTGCCTTATTCTAGGGGGACACAGACTTGTAAATTGCTAATTACCCTCAAAGCAGATCACAGCTGGCACTGAGGCAAGGGAGGCCTATGGGGGCCTGCAGGTGGCAGGTAGTGGGACTCACGAGTCCCTCTTGCCCCCCAGTGCTGAGCCTCCTCAGGGATAGGCCTGCCTCCCCCAGCCCCCACCTTCTCTTGCTTTAAAGTCTTTAAAGTCTGTGTCTTTGTACTATGCAGTTCCCTTTTCCTAAATGCCTTTCTCCAACTTGTCCACCTGACAAATTCATCTCCAGCCTTCCTCTAAAGAGTGGAAGAGAGAGTGGGAAATCTCTACACCTAAGCAACTAGGGAAGAAACAGAAGTCAAGGGGTTGCCCAGGCAGTGGCACAGACACGCCTATCATCACAGCAGCATGCTCAGGCAGGAGGCAAGCGCTATGGTCCCCTAAGTGCAGGCTGTCTGCATTGCATTCTCTCATTCTTTTATTCATTCATTCCCTGCTCTTGGCCTGACCCATTGGGCTGGGCTGGGCAGAGCACTGAAGCTTCAAGAGGAGGGAACTGACTCACTCCTGTTCTCAGGAGCTTTGTGGTGCGGGAGACAGACCCACAGCCGAGGACAGCACAATGGATGTGCTCAGAGTCTAGACCTGACCATTCGGCCTAGAAAGGGGCAGGGCTAGTACTTGGGATGCAGAGGAGGCCATGTCTCAGGTGAGTCATGAAGTGTTAATCTGGCCATTTCAGATTTGCTAGAAACATGTAGCCAAGTCAGGGAGGTGTGAGGAGGGGAAGGCATCTGCTTTCTCCAACCATCTTCTAAGTGAGCATCTCCCCCATGCAAGTACTTTCTATTATTGATTCTTTAGCACTTGTCATGGTTTGAGGTTATCTTGTTATTTGCTTATTGTTTAGAATCAGTCTTCCTCCCTTTGATGCAGCATTCCGAGGCAGGGCCACATCGTCCTGGTTTACTGTGCTGTCTCCAGTGTCTAGCCCAGCACCTGGCCTATTAGAGGCACTGGATAAAGGGTTGTGGAATGAATGAATGAATGAACACACAGGATGGGCAGGAAGTCTTTACCTCCGTATGGGGATATTTCCTCCTTTGTTCTTTCCATAGTTTCTTTTTCTTTTTCTTTTTCTTTAAAGATTTTTATTGGGGAATTGGGAGATGGGAACAGTGCTGGGGAATTGGGGGAAGGGGAACAGAAGTTGCTGTCGTTTTGTTCTTCAGTCTAGTTGTGGAGGACGTTGCTTCACTGCCCCAAGTTGGCACCATCATTGAGCTCTTCCCGGGTGAGGCAGATCAGTCGCCGGCCTCTGGACGGCCACTCACGCTGGCTGCCGGCTACACACGGTAGCCCATGGCAGCCCACTGCAACAGGGACTGCAGCCTACATCATCGCCAGCGACCCATGGCAGCCCAGCCCCAGGTAGAGCTGCCGTTCACCATCTTAGCTGCAGAGGGCAGTGTCACTGGCCCTGATATGTGGGATCCAAACCAGGGCCCTCTGGCATCCCAAGCCAGTTCTTAACCAACGCACCACTCGGCCGGCCCCCCCTGCTGTCTTTTGGAAGATGGATAAATGCCTTCTCACACCCAGATTTCATGTTCCCTAGTCACCAGCATGGTTTCATCCTTCTTTTTTTTTTTTTTTACCTGAGCCATCCTGCTACCTGTTGGCAGCTCAGCGGCTGCTCAGCTCGGGCTGGACTCGAACCGCTGTTGCTCAGAACTCAAACTCTTGAGCGAGCTCTTAACCAACTGAGCCACTCGGCCGGCCCCCTGGTTTCATTATTCTTGACCTGTCCCATCGTTGGCGATTTTACATTTATTAGCTATTGCTCTCTGGAGCTGTCAATGAATGCTTCCACCATAACTGTATTTACTGGCTAGAATTGATAGCTTTCACTAATAAGTAGGGAACACTAACAGTTTTAACTGTCCTAGGAGGTCCCCTGAACAATTTCCATCAGGCTTTTTGATTAACTGAAACTAGTTGGCTGATGATCCCTTCTCCATCAGGATGTCCAAGCTGGAGCTCCAGCAAGTCCCACAGTAAGACAGTTTCAGCCGCGGCCCCCAGTATTCAGATGTTGCAGCCAGCCCACATTTTACCATGTGAATTTTCTGGTCTGTCCTTGTCTGACTCTTGGGTGATGGTGACTCACCTTGTCATTTCATTGTGAGTCATCAACCTCAGGTAGCTCAGCTTTCTAAATAACCAGTGGTACTAACAGAACCTTACATAAAGGTGCTGCGAGCTCAGCCATTGGGATGAACACCTCCGTGTACATGCAGGGCTGGGGGCGGGACGCACAGGATTAGCCTCCCTGAAACGGAGATAGCCAGTGCCCCAGGCAGGGGTGCCTTCTTAAAGAGGGCAGAAGAATCAACTCACAGTTTTTACACAATTCACCAGTTTATTTGTCCTGAATAAATACAATCTGAGAACATCCATTTCAATCTCCCCACACACTTTTTCTTCCCCCCAAAGCAGCTTAAGATACGGGCGCACACTTTGTAGTGCATGTTCTCATGCCAGGTCCAGGAGGGTGTTTGTCCTGACTGTGCTAGGCTGGGTCTAGCTGTGAAGATACCCCCAGGTTCCCCTCTCTGTGTGGGGCATGTACTTTGCCTGAGTTTCCGAAGAACCCCTACATAGGGCCTCTTCCTGCTCCTGGAGCACCTGCCTCTCTCCTCCGATGCCCAAAGGGGGCAGCATTCATGACTGTGTGGCCCTGCGGCCGGCCCTTGCAGACAGCTCTGTCCTCTGACACCAGACACCCACCACAGGCCCATTCCCAACTGGCTCAGAAAAGGTTACTCCTGATCCTAGAAGCAGCTCGCCCAGGACAAGGGGCGAAACTGAGGCACAGCTGGCAAATGGGTGGGAAGCATTCTCCCTTGAGCCCTGCCAGGAGGCTGACAGCCCTTCATGAAGGGAGAAAGGGGCACTGATCGCCCTCCCCATTCTCCCCCCGGGTGTCCTGCCCCACTGGGAGCTGAAGAAGGGAAGACAATCTTTTATCTTCTCTTTGCGGCTCAAAGGTTTGGGTCCACATTCTCCTGGTCTGAGGCTGCCTCATCGTCATCTGGGGACTCCTAGATCAAAGCCAGAGAACCCGAGTCATGGGCTTCTGCTGTCCTCCAGGGCTGCGGCCTTTGGCCCTCCTTCCTCTTGCTCTTGTCCCCAGTGAAGCCAGAGAAGGCTCTGCCACCCCCGCCCAGGGCCCCTTGGCCTTTCCTCTGTCCTAGCTCCCAGGCTGCCCACCACTGGGTGACTCCCTCTTACCAGGCCAAGGCCCCTGCCTCGCTGCAGGGTAGCATAGAAGCGCAGCACGCGGGGGTCACATCGAACCACCATGGGGTCAAAGTCCAGCACACGCAGGCTCTGCAGGCTGCGGGCCCGGGAAAGGGCCACGTAGGCTTGGCCGCTGGCAAACACACGGCCCAGAGAGATCTCCACACAATCTAGGGACATGCCCTGGGGGTTGGAGGGACAGAGATGGAACCAGCTCTGCCTGAAGTCGCTTGTGCCCACAAGCCTGAACCCCACCTCACCAGCCCAGCTACTGCCCCTAGATCAGAGATTCTCAAGGCAGAGGGATAGGCTGACCCCAGATGGGTGAAGAGGAGAGGACCTAGGAGACGATCCAGGATAAGAGTAGAGGGATAGGGGTAAAAGGAAAGTGCTCAGGCCTGGGTTAGACGGGCATGGAAATGAATCCTGGCTCTGCCTCTCACTAGCTGTGTGACCTTGCACAAGTTACTTAATCTCTCTGAGCCTCGGTTTCCTCCTCTGTAAAACAGGAATGATTATTACATCATACATTGGTTGTAAGGATAAAGTTTAACACATCCGATAGTGGCTCAGAACATGGCACGGCAGGAGATCATATAGAGGAAGTATAGGAGTGCACCCGGGAAAGGAAGAGAAAGAAGCGGGATGGAGAATGCACTAAAGAAAGGTTTATTCTACAATTGGAATTTTTCATCCAGGGCAAGCTCAACCCCCATAAACCTTTAAGCCCCCCCACCCCAGGCCTATCTCATACCCCCTCTGCCCTGCCCTGTCCCCATCCCCCACACTGGCTGCTCACCTGGCTTTTGTGGATGGACATTGCCCAGGCCAGCTGGAGGGGCAGCTGCTGCCGGCTGAGGAGCGGGCCCCCAGTGGTCTGCACCGTCCAGCGGTCAGCACGGATGACCTCAGTGACGCCACACAGGAACCGCACCTGGGGCAGCCCTGAGAGAGAAGCCCAACCTTTCAGCCCAGCTTCAGGGCTCAGAGGTGAGGAGCAGGCCTCACCTCTCCACTCTAGCCTTCTTCTCCTCTTACTTCCTCCAGGATCCTGCTACAAACCGAAGCAGTAGGACTGCACCCCCATCACTTACCTCTCCCCTGGGTCTCGAACCCGACTACCACTCCTCGGGCACCATTCACCAGGCCCCGGGACACTGCTAAGTTTTTCACCAGCATCACCTGCAAGGGAAAGAGAACTGGAGGCATGGAGAGCTGTCCCATTCCTATACCTGGCGTCAGGCCCAGCAGTCGCTGCAGCAGTTCTGGGAGGCTGGGTCTGTCATGGAGGGGCGCTGAGTCCTAATCCTTAACTGGGCCACAGGCTGTGACCCCTGCAGCAAGCTGCTTTATTTTCCTGGGTGTCAGTTCCCCCTTGTGTCGAAGGGGAATGATAGTTGCTCAGCATGCCTCAGGAGGGCGTAAAGAGCAATAAGGTAACAAACATCACAGGGTTTTGAAATTTTCCGCATCTGTTATGGGGTATGTGTGGGGGCCGCAATCTTGAGGGCTAGCCCCCAGGTCCTGCCACCCCTCTTCCAATCACACGGTGCCTGCATTTCCCCCTTCAGAACCTGAGGAAAGGTTCCCATTTGGCCCATTCCCAAGAAGGTGGAAGGAAGGACTCTCACAGCACAAGGCACATTACAGAAGACAGCTGTGTGGAGTAGGTATTTCACTCCTCATTTTAGAGAAAAGGAAACCAAGCTTCAGCAAGGGCAAGAAACGTGTTCAAAGCGACACCGCTTGGAGCTCCAAGCATAGGAGCAGGAGGTCAGTGGACAGCTGAAGACAGGAGGTGGTGGGACTAGGAGGAGGGGAGTATACTGTGATCATAGCTGGGCTATTTGGCTGTGGAGCAGCCTGGACAGATGGGCAAGGATGGGGGAGGCCCAAGTTCCTAGAGTCGAGGCCCTGCTTCCCACTTACCTGGGCCCCCAGCTTTAGCTGAAGGAGCTGGCTAACGGGACACTGGGCATCCAGGGTCCGGGCTTGCTCAGGGTCACTATCCATGGCCTCAAAGCTGTGTACTTCACCTGGGAAAAGAGAGTTGGGCAAACAGATTACAAGTCACTGACTTATGGCTTAGGTTCCAAAAACACTTATCAGACCAGGGCATGGGGGTAGGTAGTAGGGACAGCTCAGGCCTAGCTGGGGCTTTAGAATTAGAGACCTGGGTTCAAGTCTCACTCCCACTGGCTGACTGACCTTGACCCATTCAAAGTCACATCTCTCAAAGTCACAGTTGTATCTGCAAATGTAAGGGCCTTTATGGACACAGAGGTTGGGGCCTACATATCTGAATGATCCCAAGGGCTCAGGCTGCCTTGGGGGCCATACCTGCCTGAAGGTCCCTCCTAGCTGATCTCGCCTGCCCCAGCCCCCTGCTCACCTGGCAATTCCTGCAGCCGCCTCTCATTGGTAAGGGCCACATCATCCTGGTGGGTACAGAGCCTTGTGGCCACAATGCCATCTCGCCCCACCTTGTGGGTGGCTGTGGCCTGGAGCTGGTAGGTCACCTCATCTGAGCACCTGTGGGAGCTGGGCTGTCAGGGCAGAGCCCACCTGAACACCAGGGAGGGTGGGGCATGTGGGTGGTATGATCCAAGCCGCAGGCCTTGGGTCAGGCCTGAACTGGAAAGGGGCATCAGGACAAGATTTGCTGGCCCCAAGGCTGGCCAACTTGTCCTTTCTCCATTTTGATCCCACACATGGGGACTGAGCATGGTGTGTGTGAGGGTGCTTGGCTGTGATCATGGGTGGGCACCCTTTCTTGTGCCTGCCCCCCGGAAGGAGCTAGCCACTCTCCCACCCTCAGTGTTCCTCAGGAAGTTGGATATACTGAGTGAGCACAGGCCAGATGTTTAGAGGACCTAGACCAGGCACTGATGTTGATACCTGTACTACTGGTAACCTATAATCAGATCAGCCTCCAGGGGACAATCTTCCTGCCCCTGGCCTGCTGCCTTGGGGGGGGAAAAAAAAATCAAGCCTGTGTTTCTGTTCCCCCCCATCTTCAGGCTTCCTCCACATAGGGAAGCCTGGGTGCAGCAACAACTCCTGTGGGAAGAGGAGAAACAACTTGGACCCACCTTTCCCTGCTCTGCCACTCAGCCTTCCTTCCTCTTGTGTGTGCTGTGCACCTTCCTACCTGCCTCCTATCACCAGGCATAGAGAGCCACTCACCACCACCACCCTCTCCCTAGCCCGTCCCAATCTGACCTGGCTTTCAAGGCCCAGATCTGGCCCATGTCGTCCGCCCTCCTGGCCTGCCCACTCCCATGTTAGAGTAGTTGTCCTAGCTGGGCTGGGATGATGTCTGCAACCTCCCCTAGTCCACCAAGTGATCCACAAGTTCTAAGAGTGTAAGGAACTTGGGTTTTAGAGTCAGACCTGCGTTCAAATCCCAGTTCGGCCACTCACTAGCCGTGACTTTGAGCAAGTTACGTCACCTCTTTGAACCTGTTTCTGCATCTGAAATGGGAGTGTGGACATTACTGAATTCCTCTTGTGTGTCCACCGGCCCATACTTCCCTGACACCTACTCTGTTCCAGGCCCTGTGCTGGGTGATGGAGACCCCAATTTTGGGGGAGGCAGGGTCCTAGTGCTCACAGAGTGACTATCTCCAGTGGGTCCAGGAAGCATTTCTCCCCCTTCTCTGGGCCCCTGTGCTCCCCTTTAATGCACAATTGGATCCTCATACCATGACCCTTTCTCTATTCAAAGGGCCCACCTGCCCAGCCTGACAGCCTGTAGCAGAGAGATGAAGGTCTGGTCCGTCTGCCTCCACACCTTGGTCAGCTCCAGGGTCACAGGGACACACCTCTTCCAGCTCTTTGCCTGGTGGGGGCAGGGTGGGGGTGTCAGGGAGCAGAGCAGACACCTGAGGGGGAGCAGAGCAAAAGGGTGAGTGGTACCTGGAAGCAGAACTGCGGGAGCTGGGAGCCCTTGGTTACAGGAGGCAGCTGCAGGAAGTCCCCACAGATGATGAGCTGGATCCCTCCAAATGGCTTGTTCTGCTGCCGGACAGCTCTGGACAGAAGCAAGAAGTGCTTTAGGGGCTGGAGTAGGTGTGTTCCACATGGAAAACCACCAGAACCCAGCCCTCACTGCACATACTGACCTGGCCACAGCCTCCAGCTTGTCAAACAGGTCCGCCTCTACCATGGAGATCTCGTCAATGACCAGCCGCTGGCAGCTCAGCCAGCCCTGCCGCACACCTGGCCGCTGGGCCAGGGCCACACACTGGGCCAGAGGAGCCCGACCTGAACCAATACCTACGAGTGACACTATTCAGCCTGGGCTGAGCCCCCAGACCCCAGCCCTGTCTCAACCCTGACCTTCCCTCCCTTCCTTCCCACAGGCCTGTCTTGCTACCAGCTCTAGCCCCAGGGGCTCTTACTTACCTGCAAAAGCATGGAGGGTGGTACCCCCTATGTGGCAGGCTGCCACCCCAGTGCTGGCAGTGGCCACAGTGCCTGTGGGAGGCAGTGAGCCCAGGATACGCTTCAGCAGATAAGACTTCCCTGTCCCTGAGCAGAGGGCAAAATCAGGGCTACATCTCCTCCATCCACCCCCAACACCATTCTCCCCCCACCCCTAACTCTGACCCCCACTACCTGCACTCCCAGTGAAGAAAATGCTCTGGCCTTTCAGGACGACTCTCAGCACCTCAGCCTGTTCCTCAGAAAGCTGTGGTTTGGTAGGAGGCAAGCTCAGCCTCTTCACAGGCAGGGGCCACCTTGGGGCTTCCTGGGGAGACAGGGCTGTATCAGGGCCTTGTCCCCCACCTTCTTGGCCCAGGTGCAAAGCTAGGTCTGGCAGCCCCTGTGTTTCTGCTGGCTTCATTCCTTGGAGCCCTTAGGCAGCCTTGGTTTACCTGAAGATTTTGCCAGTAACAAATGGGGTCCAGGTCTCTCCTTGAGAAGGAACCAAGGCTGGGTCTCCACTGATTTCTGGTGTCCTGAAGACCCCACTATGTGGGTCTGGATCCTCCCTCAGCTCCCTCCTCTAGGCTCCCTAAGTCTCCCGGAACTCTCACTCGCCCTTCCGTCCCACTTCTCTTTCTTTCTGTCACAAACCCATCTCTCTCACCTCCAAACACCCAAGCAAAATCCTGCCTAGCCAGGGCCCCCTTCTTGCCCCATCTCCATCTTCTCACCTGCTTAGTCTCAAACCCCTGTGGTCTATGATCCATCTGTCCCAGTTCACAAACACTGTCAAACCCACCAGGCTTTGGCATCACCCTATTTGATCGCACCTGTTGGCTGCCCCTGACACTGCTGATCACTTCCTTTTCTCTAAAAGCTCCTATTTTTCTCCAGGAAGACTAAATTCTTACTTTTTCTTCTGAAGTCTCCTTTCCAAGCTTCCTTCTCTGCTTTCTCTTCTAATGTGACCTGGGCCTCCTCTTCCTATTCTCGCTTACCCTGTCTCGGGGCTTGCAATATGAGAAACACACGCACAAGTCCCACATCTCTGTCATACTCAGAAATCCTATGGATCTCTGTTCTGAGATAACCAGAAGCCCTCTCAAAAACTGCCACCACCTTTTCCCCAAACTTCTGTCTCCTAGGTCTCTTCCATCTCAGTGGCACATCCAGTCCCCAAGGGGTCCCCCCTTTCCTGTTCTCACGGTATTTGGGTTGACCCCAGCCAGGGGCTCCGTGGACTGCTTCACCGGCGTGGCGTCCGGGACCCGGGTGGCCGCCGCGCGCCGTAGCTCCTCGGGCTGCACAGGGCTGATGGTGACGAAGTCGTGGGGCCGCGGGCCAAGCAGCTGCTTGCGGGCAGAAGCCGGCCGGGGCCCTGGAGCCGCAGCCAGCTTGAGGCGCAGCGTGCGTAAGAAGCGGCGCAGGCGATCCGGGGGGCAGTCGGAGAGCAGCAGCTGCACAGCTCCCGCTGGAGAAGCGCCATACGCGGGGAGCCGCAGAGTGCTGCGCCCCGCCGAGGCGAAGCGCGTGAAGAGGCGCGCAGCGCGCAGGGGGAAGCAGCGCGGCAGCCCAGCCAGCCCCGGTGCCTGCAGTCTTAGCATCAACTCGCGGCGCTCGTTACGGCCCAGGCTTAGCTCCGCAGTGCGTAGGGCCTGGCGCCTTCGCGGCTGCCCACCCGGGCTCAGCTCCTCCACTGCCACGCGACACCGCAGCTCCGCGTCTTCGTATTCTGCTGCCGATGCTAGGGTGCCCGACAGCATTGCCACCGCCTCTGCAGGTCTGCAAAATGACTGGAGCACAGGGGTCACAGGGACTCAGGGATGTAACAGCTTATAGAGGCCATGAAGGGAAGCCCGGTCTAGGCCACACAGGGTTACGGAGGCTGTCACTAGTAACACAAAGAGGTCACAGAGAGTGGCTCAGTTGGTTAAGAGCTCGCTCAAGAGTTTGAGCTCTGAGGGGGCCGGCTGAGTGGCTCAGTTGGTTAAGAGCTCGCTCAAGAGTTTGAGCTCTGAGCAACAGCGGTTCGAGTCAGCCCGAGCTGGCGGGATGGCTCAGCTAAAAAAAAAAAAAAAAAGAGGTCACAGGGATGGTAAAAGGACTCTGGGGCCAACCGGAAATTCAATTAGAAATTACTCTCCTGCACAGTTTCCAGAGTTGCGGTTGGGCAGCGTCAAATGCACCCCGGTTTGGGGATCCTCGGCTGTCTGGCATGGTCGTAGAAGAAGGGGGACCCGGAACAGAAAAGAAGCCAGCTTCCAAGAGATCCAGATCAGGCACTGAATCGTCTCCCCAGGAAGCAGGGGATCTCACGTGGGAAGATGAGAAAGGAGGCTGATAAGTAATAAGCGCCCTCTGTTTTCCAGGTACGGTCACTGGTTTATATGCAGCCGGGCAGGTCTTACTATTCCCCGTGTACAGAAGTGGAAACAGGTTGGGAGAGGCCACTAGGCTGGTTTAAGTCCAGGCTGGTGTGATTCTGAAGCCCTGGCGCTTCCCATCTCCAAGGTGGGGAAGGAGTAGAGTATTTGGCTAGGGAAATCGGGGGCGGGGGGGAACGGGACGCTGGGACCCTTGGAATCCGTGCTCCCTCCGTCTGACCCTCTCGTTTGCACTCTCCGGGCAGGGACTCCTTGAAAAAGCAAGCTCTATGCCTCCTGTCTCTGAGATCGGGTGAACACTCACTTGCGCTGGCACTCGGACGAACAAGCGGAACAGAATTAACCGGCTGGCGAAGCTCCGGCACTAGGAACTTTCAAATACTAGCAGTAGAGACTCACCCTATCACCGACCGGATCTTTAAATTATCCAGCCAATCAAGAGGCAGGGGCACGACAACGGGCGTGTCTTTGGTTGGGTTCAGCCCAGGAGCTTGGGCTGTACCAATTGCGGGGGAAAGGAGGATTATTGTGGTGGCCGAGCGAGCATACCAAGTCGCGTGGACGGGTGGGCGTAGCGGGAGAAGGCGGGGG